TTGGTAAATCCTTCCGTGTTTAGACGGGGAAATCCTCCCTTGCTAGCACCCAGGCCAGTGGGGTGTCACTGCGGGGTTAGAGAGGAGCTGGAGGGAAGGAGGAAGGCTGGAGGCATGTGTGACCGTGAGTGACACTGGCTGTGTGATCACCCTAAAAGCACCCGTGATGGACTCGTGGGCGATGCGTGCGCCCAGGAGAAATACAGCCGTCGGATCGGGCGAGGTTTGGATTTTTTTCCCCTGTTCCTTGTTTTCGTGAGGTCTATGGGTGGATGAGTTCCCCTCTTACTTATGCTTCGGGACAATGGATGCCTTCGCGATGATGATTTTCTGGGGGAGAGTGCGAGTCCCTCGGAAATCTCCCCTTTCCGCCCCGCCCCAGCCCACGCACGGCCCCTGCTTGCTGGGAAGCTCCCTGAGGAGCGGGAAGCGCAGGTAATGCCTGAGGAAAGCTCCGAGTGAATAAAATAAATTCCTTTAGTGTGGTTACTCTCTTGAAGTGTCCCTTGGTGCCGGGCTTTCCTCTCCTCTACAACTTCGTCGCTAGATCACCGTCCCACTTCACTGCTCTTGCGACTGAACACGACGCTTGCTCATCTTCTGTGGGCTCTCCGTGGGGACTGCGGCTATTCTTTCCCCTCTCTGGTGTCTGGGAAAAAAAACAAAACCCAAACAATAAAACAACAAACCAAAACAGAGAGAGAGAGAAGGAAATAATGAAAAAAATTAACGAAAATTAAATATTTAAAAAACATACAGTGTTGAGTGTCACTCAGAAGATGGATCCATCTTTTGCATACAAAACTCGTGGCAAAATTAAGCTCTTTTAATAACCTTTTAACTGATGGTGTAAAAATTGACTGGTGGTGGAAAGTAGTGAATAGTGGTAATAAAAGAATAGACTCATACTGTGAACCGTGAATAAACCTTCCTGGAAAGAACTGAACTAAGGAGAGAGTAGGTAGTCAATTAGCTTGCTTCTGTTCTGAAAATTTAGAAGAAAATGGAAGTGCGACGCGTTGGCACTTTTTTTTTTTTTTTTTTTTTTTTTAACCCTCTGAGAGAAAAGAGTAAAAAGAAGAAAAAATAGAGTTGTGGTGGAAATGGGCGAGATATGAGAAAAGCGAGATGTGAAAGGCGTGAGTGCCGAAGCGGGTATGCCCGCCCCGGGCGCTGCCCCACCGCAACCCGGTGGCTCGGAGCCGGCGGCTGAGCTTCAGCAAAAGTCACGGCGTTCAGAAATGTTGCAACAGCACTTTGGAAGTCTCTAAAGAAAAGCTGAATTGTTGGAACTTAGGTAACTTAAGGAAACTCGTTATGACCTACATTGCTGTTCTGAGTCAGCAGATGCAGCCCCAGCCCCGGCGGGTCCCGCCGCCGCCACCGCGCACCCCGCGGGCGGAGCCGCCCCCCCCGCCGTCGCCCGGACTCACTGCTTCCCGGGTTTACAAACAAACTCGGCTGGATCGAGACGGTTTCACTTCTGCCGTCAGGAATGCCACCGCTGCCTTTTTTTTTTTTTCCTCCCTCCCCTCCCAGGTTTGCGGACCGAGCAGACTGCCTGCCTCAGTGCTGGTTTAAGCGGAGGACAAGGTCTTTTCCCTAAGTTTTTAAGAACTGTACTTTATTTTCTGAAGGGATAACGATTGTTTCCTGCACTGGACAATAGATGCCTTATCGGGGAAAGTTACTGCATGTTGTACACTGCTTTGCTCTTACGATAGAGAAGGAAACTGAAGTTCCAATCAAAAGCTTAACTAAACAACTTTCCATATTTCTTCTGTAATGTAATATAAAAGTAGAAGCGATTAAACTCCAGATGTTCACATTGTCAAACCTCATAGCTTAATCCGGTTTGCAGCGAGCTTGGACAATTACACTGACCGTTTATTAAACGCACAGTCAGCGCTAGGGGAAGAATTCAGAGTATTTTAACATATTAATTAAAGTAATCTGTGCGCCAAGGTACCGCATCACCCCGGCCAGGCGAGGGACTGGGAAAATCATCCAGTCAGCTTTCTTTGATAGTCAGAATGACGAAAGAGTCGAGATGAAATGACCTCAGAAAACTCCACCTTTGGAAAGCAGCACTGGCCGCCTCTGCCTTGCCTCCCGCCGCTCCCCCTCACTTCTCACTTCTTGCTTATCGACACTTCTTTACCGTAGGCAGGAGAACTGAAACGACAAAACTTAGCTCTAAACGCCTGGATTTTCCGGTCAGGCGTTTACCGTGTTTGCACACCTCTCCGAGCGCTGCTCATGATACCACTGTCATTATTACTGGCGTATTTATACAAACTTTTGGGGGGGATTTTATGCGCCAAGTACGGCAACTCACAGAAAAATCCAATTTCCTTTCCTTTATTTTTTATAAAGAAAATTTCACAGCAGTAGTGGGGAGTTAGTTGATTCGATGCTCTTTACCGACAACTTTTAGCAGCTGTGAGTTTCCTGCAACAATGACAGTTCGGTCTCCCTTCTTAAGAAACCAGCAAAATGTGGAGACAGCGATTGAAAGCATCTCCCCTTGACCCTAAGCAGGGAGGGGGGCAAGAAAAGGCTGCCTCTGATGTTGGGTGTCGGGGAAGAGTTGTTTCTCGATGGGTGGTGGCACTTGCCCAAGCCCCGTTTCCCACCAGCTGGTTTTGCTGATGGACGCGGGGGTACGTCCCTGCTGCCTCACCGTGGGGATGAGCCACGGTCGCGCAGCCACCTCCGGCTCTGAGTTCGGCGGGTGCTGCCAACCACCACCAAATAAAGTCAACGCCTTCGCCTGCCTGATTTTTTATTTTTCAAAGAACCCATAAAATTCCCCCTGGTGTCATGGAAAGAGAGAGGTGGTAACCTCCACTTCAGAGCTCTCCTTGCTCACAAACCCCAAATGTCAAGGGCAGTGGAGAGAAGACGTTTGTGCTTGAAAGAAAAAGTAAGAGGAAGAAGAAAAAAAACCCTGAAAGCAACCAGAACCCAAAAGAAAACAAACTTAACAATAACACCACCCCCCCACCCCCCCCCGATATAGCTGGGGAGGAGAGGGGTGTGAGGAAAGAGGGGGTGAGAAGCGTTTTAGCTGTGCCGTGGTTGACACGGTGCGTCTGCACTTCCAACAGAGCGGGAGGGACTCCGACATCTCGCTCTCTTCCTCGGCTGTTTTCTTGGGAGTTCTGCGAGAGCCCCGCTGTTTCTTCCGGGCTGCACTCCCCGGGCTCTGCGAGGCAGCCCCAGGACCCGCTGACCTGCCCTTGCCCTTCTCTCAAACGCTTCCAGAGGTCTTGGGCAGCCCCGGAGCGGTGCGAGGGAGGGCAGCGGAGTCCCCTCCACTCCCCCAGATCGCTCTCCGCGAGGTCAAGCCCACAGAATGGTTTTAAAAGCGAGATTTTGGGAAACCTGTAGAGAGGATG